CGAAAACTTTGCCTTTCTATTTTCAGATAAGGCAATGTTTCTGGTCCCTTCCTTATGTGTTTGTTTGTCAAAGCAATGTGAGCCTGTGAGTATCAGTTATCTGTATGTGTGCTTTTTATACTGATATGATTGCGTACATGTGTTACCAATTAGTGCTCCTAACTGAGTTATGTTCTGTCATCTTCAAGTAGGCCAATCTGAAACAGAATATGCAGTATTACCCTAATAATGATGTTATCAGTGGGTTGACCTTTGCCTTGCTCCTTCATTTTTCTTTTTCTTTTTTTCTGTTATAGTGATTGGACAAGCGAAAAAACTGTCGCTAAGAAAGTAAACACTGCCAGCATTAGTCTGTAGCAAAGTAGAAGAAACAAGCAAAGTAGAAGAAGAGCAAAATAAACAAAGTTCATTCCCACCAGATATCACTAGTATTTCATTCCCTATATTTTGCAGGACACCATGATAAATCAAGTGTCACTAGTATTTATTCCCATGGCAACGATTGTTGTGACACTTTCTTTTCCCTCCATTTGGAGTGAAGACAGTCTGCATTTTGTTAGATATTCGTGGAGAGCTTAACGAATGAATGCAGTACGTACCCAGATGGTTTGGTTGATTGCTTCAAGAACAAAAACTCTGCAAGGCATGTAAGTAGGCAGCAGAGCAGAGGAGAACATTTAATTAGACAACCTCTGTTTTACGACAAGAACAGACTTGACTGGGAACGAAAATCTCAGTCTATGCAGTTGAGCAATGTTTGCATGGCGTGATAACAACAGCTACAGTTTCTTTGGAGTTTTGACATATCCCACGAGGTTGGCATCAGAATACGCAAGCGCAGGCATCCCAATCAAAGGCAAGCTAACCATTTAGCACCTGGGTCTCCGTGGAAGTCCGTGAGCCAAATTCGGTGATTTATTTGGAATTGCTTGAATCAAATTCCAGCAGGCGCCACCTCTTGAGAAGGCTCCCATCAAGTTGGGGCAGTATGTGATATGTAGTTTCTCCAGGGCTGGGAGCTGCTGCAGGAGTCCCTCCGGTAGTGTCTCTAACCTTAGGCATTCAGAAATATGCAGCCTCTTGAGCTGAGGGAATGATACAACCGCTACTTCTCCTTCCACCTTCTGGTACCATCTCTCTAGCTTAGCCATGTCGGAAACTATCATGCTTTTCAGCTTAGGAAAGAACGGTGTTGGGGACATACATGATTCCCCATTGTCTGTATCATCATTACCAACACACATACTTGTTAACACTACCAGAATCGTGATTAAGCCTGTGAGCCAACATATATTCCCGTCGGCCCCGCGTAGACTCCCAGGAAAATATCATTTTACTGTGGGCCAGACACTGACCGACAGGTTTTTTCACCATATTCCTGTAGGTTCTGAGCAGGCGCACAGGAAAAGTATATCCCTGTGCGTCGCCTCCCACAGGAATCGCATTCGGCCCTTCGCGCCCGCGGGCTACCGCTTCGCGCCATCGGGTTTTTATTGCGCGCGCATTTTTTCGGAGAGGCCCACCCTTTTGTCTATTTTCCTGTGTGTTTGGGCTCACAGAGTTAGGCCCAATACAAAAGGAGAGGGCAAACACGTACAGCCTCCATCCCCAATTCAGTCGTAGTCTCCAATCCTCTCGATCCCCAATCCAGTCCTGCGCTTCACCGCCGCCGCCACCATCGTCCGGTCCACAGCCGGAGCCGCCGCCACACCATCCTCCGGTCCACCGCCGCCGCCGCCACACCATCCGCAGGTCCACCGCCGTGGCAGCAGCTACACCATCCTCCCATCTACCGTCGCGGCTGCCTCCCCTCCCTGCGGAAGGCCGTCCTTCCGCCTGCATCTTCCTCACCACTTGCGTAGTGCCGGTCTCTGCCTCGCCACCCGCCGGAGCACCAGCATCTGCCCCCCACCAAGCTCCCGTACTTGTCCCCCATTCAGATTTACACGTCTTCACCTCCGGCTGCCTGTACTCCTCTACTCGCTGCCTCACAAGTCCCCATTCTCCATATCTCTGGTAATATATTACCTTCTTTTCCTAGATCTACGATTTGTTTGCTCTATTTCTTGTGTAGCGTACAAGCTTCGTTGGAACTAATTTAGGCACATCTGATTAGTATACGGTTGATTTGGATAAGTTCAAACACCAATTTTTATGGGTTCCAACGCAAAACTAGTTGTACATGACCATGTACAGTTCTTTGGTGTGCGAGTTGATTTGGACAGATTAGTTTTGGTTGTTCTTAGACGTAAGTTGGAGCTTCTGTAGCAACATCAGTGAACAGCTAGCATGTAGCTTATGTACATGACCATCTAACTGTTCATTTTTTCTAGGTTGTAGCTTCCGTGACACCTACCTGCTATTTATTTATTTATTTAAAGTGAATTTAAGATCTATAAATCCTAGAATAATCTTATCTTTTCATATTCCAGAAACATCAGTGAACAGCTAGGGGAGTTGGCTGGCCACCCTTTTCGACGCCGTAATTTCCCAGCTTGAACAAGTATATTGGTAAGTTATAGCTTTGAGCTCTTAAATTTATGTCTGAAACAATTGTCTTTTTGTGAATTGTTATTTGTGCTGCTGCCCTTTAGTATGCTATTATTTTTCTGAAATAGCCCCATTTCTGTGAATTTTATTTCAGTATGAGTTCTTGGTTAAATAATGGAGAACCGTGATTGGATGTATAGTGGATGGGTGTTTGGTCAAGTCCCTTCTAATATATGGCTTGAAGAAACTGCACGATTTATAGACCGGGCCTTCTCTTCCGTAGCTGAAGGTGGTAAAATTAAGTGTCCATGCGCCAAATGTCGGAATTATTTTCCGCAAGAAAGGCACATTGTAGAGAAACACTTGTATAAACATGGGTATAAGCCAAATTACAAAACCTGGACAGAACATGGTGAGAGTTTTGTAGCTGCTGCTGATGGATCTGTCCCTTTAGTACATCAAGAGGGCTGTAATGAAACTGATCGAATGGACAATATGTTGGTTAACTTAGGTGGTAGCCATCTTCCACCGGTTACTGAGGAGCCAACCTCCTCTGCCAAGGCTTTTTATAGGATGGTCAGTAGTGCCGATGAATTGGTACATGCGAACACAAAACACTCACGTCTTTCTGCTGTAGCTCGTTGCTGTCTATGAAATCACAATACAACATGTCCATTGCACATTTTGATGATACCTTAAAAATAATCCATGAACTTTTGCCTCCTGAATCTGCCTCCTGAATCTAATTTGTCCGAAGACTTCTACCAATCCAAGAAACTCTTAGAAGGTCTTGGGATGCCATATGTCAAAATAGATGTGTGCAAAAATAATTGCATGTTGTATTACAAAGATAACAAACATAAAGAGAAGTGTGACTTTTGTGGCACATCTCGTTACGAGGAAGGCCAAAAGAAAATCCCACGTAAAGTTTTGCGGTACCTCCCTCTAAAAGATAGATTGCAAAGGCGTGCTAATGAAGAAAATGCAGAACTCAGGCGTGCTAAGGAGATGCTACAGCAGAAAGTACATATGCATGGGCAGCTCATAACTGTATGTACAAATTAACGCCCAAATTCTAAACCAATGGATCTCAACTTCTCAATTATCAACTCGAGTAACATTTCTTCCTTTTGCAGGCACTTTTCAAGGAGATAGGAAAAGAGTTGCCAGCGCATATACTACATATACTAAGCCATGGAGCTGTTTCGCAACCAGAAGTAAGTGTATGAGAAACTTGAAGTTATCTATATCATATGGATGAATGTGTGATGTCCACTACTCAACTTGAATTTGTGCATTCCTTCTGACCTGTCTACGCTGATGTAGCTGCAATATCAACATTATGTTGCATATGAGATTTTTTTTTCATGTTTTATATCAAGATATTTGGCTGTTTGCATCTGTGAGCTTGTCTACTCTCATAAGATTCTTTAGCTGTTATGCCCAATTTTTTTTTTCATGTTTTATATCAAGATATTTGGAACTTCAAAGTAGCCTGGACATGTAAATGAAAAGAAAATCCATTCTTGGTGCCAAGCATTAATCAATAAATGGAAATTATTTTGTTCTGTTGTCTCAACTTATTATCCAACAAAGTATTGTGTTTTTATTGTTCTAAATCAGATTAAATAACAATTTGGTTACTTGGGCTTGATTCAGGGGACAAATAACTCGTCTCAACCCGGCTCACAAGCGGTTGATGTCAACAATGATGTCATGGAGTCGAGCGAGGAGAACGACACCACTGGGAATGTCGGTGATCAAATCGTTGACGCAGCAGCCAACCATGGCGGAAACTGATTGCTCAAAGAACATGATAACATCAGACTGTAGGTGGTCTTCATACGCTCTTTTGTGGACTTGTGTATCCAGTATGGTTTAGGAATGAGAACTAACATCTGGTGGTAGTTGCAAGCCGGCGTATTTTGCTAGTATTGTTGTAGTTGGAAGGTCCTTTTGTGGATGGTACCATTGTAGCCTTGTAGTGTACTTTGTTGATCTATATGTATGGAACTAATGATGATATATGAAGTCTGATGTTGTCATATAAATCTATTCTCACATGGTCTCTGTGAAATAATGTAACATCTGTAGCATCTGGGTTAAGCACATTGCTTTTCCGGCAGGAATATGAAAAAAAACATCATGATGCAACAGTGACGGCCAACGGCTGACAGGAATGCACGAACGTTGCAGCTTTCCTAGCACAAATTCCTGTCGGCTGAACCTACAGGTATAAGTTGGTAGGAATGCCTCCTAGTACAAATTTCCTGGCGGCCTTTCCTGACAGGTGGTTGACAGGAATATGTATTTTCCGGGAGGCATAAATCTGACAGAGCATTTCTTTCGTGTGAGCCAACCGTCAGGAATAACCGACAGCAATAATATTCCTGTGGGCCGACCGGCAGGCATATTGTTTCATTCCTGGCAGGCTATGGCTGTCGGTTGTTCCTGTCGGTTGGCCGACAGGAATTATATTCCTGACGGCCAGTTTTATTTTCCTGACGGCTATTGGCCCACACGCTTAGTCGCGTTTCTGGTAGTGTAAGCCATCCAAACTAACCAATGACAAGAGCCTGAGAGAGGAGAGCTGCCATAATGGTGGAAGATCCTTGCAGTTCTTGCAGTAGCCCAGAGAAAGTTCACTGATATGCTCTAACAGTGTAGGGTTGTGCATCCATGATGAGAATTTGGCACCACTATAACTAATTAACAATAAAGATTCAAGATTTGTGTGAGGACGAAGGGCCTCTAATATTTCATCTGCATTACTATCTACTTCATCTTCATAACTTCTGACGGATATATTGCCATACCAATCGAGTGATAATCGTTTCAATTTATGCTTGGGGGATATATTGCCTTCTTTAGCATTTTCTGCACTATGCACTTTTCTCAGCTCCGACAAAGAAAGACCACCACCTAGATTCAGATTTTTCAGTTGATCAATTCCACAACCTGCATCGTAATCAATGAAATAATCCGTCAAAGTGTGTAGAGAAGTCAGCTGACTAATACCCCGTGGCATGCGGCTCAAACTCTCACACCCAACAAGGAGGATGTGCCGAAGACTGCTCATATATCTCATGCCTTCTGGCAATTTCTTAAGCTCTTTGCAATCAATGAGCTTCAATGTTTGCAAGCTATACAACATGGTAGTGGCTTCAGGCAATGTAGAAATATTGGACTTAGAACAATCTAGATAGCGAAGATGCTTCAAATTTATCAAATTTTTCTTGATCGAGAGTGTATTCAATGCTCGCAAGGACATGGATTTTTTCTTGGCCATACTCAGAGACTTGGATATATCCTGGATTAATATCGTGCGGGGTCGTGGAGCTAGAATTTCCTTCATGGCTGCAATAGTATCATTGCTGATATAATCAAGTGTCAAGTGTCGAACCTCATGCTGTAATGAACTAGCATGTGTGCATCCTTGCAGAATTTCTTTACATGATGAAGATTCTTGCAGAATGAAGCAATCATTTCCACTTACATGGTGAGCAAGATCATGCATGAGATCATGCATCTTGCAAGTGGTTGGTTGGTACATGAAGTTATCTCGTTGAATCTCCGCATCTAAGAGAAAACATCTCCAAACTAGCACATCAAAAATTTCTTGGCCTCTTGTTTCTGATGCAATAAAGTCATTTGCCATCCATAGCTGGATTAACATCTCTTTATCCATCCATCTGTACTTGGGGAAAATAGCATAGAAGGAAAAGCATATTTTTTCTTCTGATGACAAGTGATCATAGCTCAGCTGTAGTGCAGGTACAATTCCAGTAGTTGTGACGATGTCATCCTTCCACACATCACTGTCCATAACAGAAACCCACTGACCGTGATTCTTTGAACAAAGTAAAGCTGATATAGCCTTGATAGCAAGGGGCAATCTCTCACACTTGTGCACAATACACTTAGCCATTGAAATCAATTCCTCTTGCTTCTCCACTTCCCTCCCAAATGCGATTCTGCGAAAAAGCTCCCATGATTCATCCTCATTCAGAAGTGATATCTGATGTGGAGGAAGTGTGCCCATGATAGAAGCAACTTGATTGCTGCGGCTTGTCACAATTATAGCACTTCCGGAGCCGGCATGTAAGTTTAGCAATGATCTCATAGCATCCCACTTTTGTCCATCTTCATTCCAAACATCATCCAGCACTAGGAGGTACCTTTTGTTGCCCAAAACACCACAAAGTTCCTTCTGCAATGCCTCCATCTGAGTCAAATCACATTGTTCCACGGTGGTCACTTCTATTATAGATCGGATGGTTTCTTCAATAACGAACTTGTGAGAGACACAAACCCATAAGACCAACTCAAAATGATGCTTCACCCTCTGATCATTATGGACAAGTTGGGCAAGAGTGGTCTTACCAATTCCCCCCATACCAACTACGGGGAGCACCATGACATTACTATTATCATCATTGCTGTTGTTGGAGTGATCGAGCAATATCTTCACCACTTGTTCCCTGTCATTTTGCCTTCCAACTATCTCTGATTCATTTACATGAGAGTGTGTTTGCGGATGATCAATGGTCGGTGCCTCGGCATGTTGGAGGAAGTGAAAATTATTCATCTCCACAACCAGTTCATCTATCATTTCTTCTTCCTGCTCATGGAGAGGCGGAAAATAACCGGGCTGTTGGTGGTGAAGTAGCTCAGCATCTGCAATGAAATGAAAACAATTAAATTGGAATAAAATACTTCCATTTCCAAAACCTTAAAGAAATAGACGAGATGCAGATTATGCACGAGATGCTTGCTGTTTTATGTCAGATGAGATAAGGCTAGTTTAAGGAAAGGTACGTGTTCCGATTCTTGAGGCATATTTTAGTGAGCCGTCCACCAGATGTATTAGTGCCTCCACTCCTAGTCCTAGGGTTCCGACTCTTAATTCTCCCTTTCCCATTTCCCCCTGTTCTCTCCTTGGAGATTGTGTTTGTTGGACCCCACTACATGCCCTGATAACTCCTGTCCTACTCCTGTGTGGTCTTTGTTAGCACTTTTTTGGTCGGATTTAGTAAAGCAATTTGTGTTTTGCTGGCCACCTCCTTGCTCCCTCGGTGGTGGTTTTAGTAGGTTCAACAGGCCAACAAGAAGAGAGGAAAACACAGGGCATCCATAAATACTTAGGAAGTTGAGCAACTAACGACTCTACAATACATGTATATAGCTGAGCTGAGCGGACATTTAGGCACATCTTTGGATGGCCAGCTCCCGCCACACTGCTCGTGGACTGGTCTCCACCGGCACGGATAAGGTGTACGAATATGGGTGGATCTTGTAAAAGAGTCACACTTTCATGGCATTCTTGAAGTCGTTCAAGCAGCCGCCGTTGGCCACGTGATGCATGACGAGCCTCTCGTCGCACCTGAGGCCGGCCATTGATGCGTCCCATGATGTAGGGAGCGCTTCCGTGTATGTAGAGAAACCCATGGCGATTCGTCGGTTAGCTAGGGTAGGGTTAACAACCAAATCGATCGACCGCTCGGCTCTATCTGCACGCTTTAAATAGCTACCGACCGACGATTGGCATTCCAGGGTCTTGATATTGGTTGAAAAATCCGTGACTGTACGTACGCATCACGCTCGGTCTCTCCCGATTGCACTGTAATGACCGTATATATATTTATATAAATAAAATAAAATAACGTACATACGTATCCTTGCATGGTACGTGCGTTGCTGCGCCTATCCCACAAGAAATCGGGGATTTTTGGCTTTTGCTTATTTTTTAGTTCAGCATGTTAGGAGATCTGCTAATGTACTAGCTCACATGTGTGCAAAGCTTGCTAGTACACGTACTCGTACTAGTTCATGGATCTGAATTTCAATATTCGAATCAAAAGTTATGGCTTTCTAAATTTTATAAAACCGAAATAAATGCATGTGCTTTTCCTTTCTTAACTGATTTGTGCAAAATAGAAAACGTTCGAAGGGATGAGGCCCACATAATTTCTTTTTTTGTAGTGTAAAGATGACACGGGGTGCCGATTACCCTTTATGGCAAGTCTGCTTGGATGCACCCCGTGCCGTGTGAGTTTTCTGTCACGGTGCGCTTAGGAAGTCCAATTAGTGCAGAAGCATTTGGGATTTAAAAATTGCCCCACCAAGGATTAAGCCTTGTCCCCCGTTCTTCTTCCAGCATAAAAATTTCTCTCCTGTTTTTCTTCAATTTTTCCTCGCACTTTTTGTATCCTGAAATTCCAAAATAGCAGAAAACAGAAACTTACACTAGGCAGCTGATTAATATGTTAGTCCAATAAAATTGATAAAAAATATGTCCAAAGTGCGTATAATTGATATCGTAGTAGAATAAATCATACATAAATTATGGATACGTTTAATAAGTATCAAAGGAGAACTCAGACAACAAATATGCACACTAGCGGGCCGGGGATGAACCGATGGGGACTATATCCCAATCTGACATTTTGGGACGGTCTACGGGGCGACAATAAACAGGAGGAGCCCAGGATGGTGGACTACTTGGGGGAAAGAAAACCATGAAGATTGTGCTGCGAAGATAGGAGAACCAAACAATGATTGGGGTAGAGTGGGTAATGAAGGAAATATGCCCTAGAGGCAATAATAAAGTTGTTATTTTATATTTCCTTATTCATGATAAAGGTTTATTATTAATGCTAAAATGTTATTGATCGGAAACTTAAATACATGTGTGAATACATAAACAAATATCGTGTCCCTAGTAAGCCTCTACTAGACTAGCTCGTTAATCAAAGATGGTTAAGATGTCCTAACCATAGACATGTGTTGTCATTTGATAACGGGATCACATCATTAGAAGAATGGTGTGATGGAAAAGACCCATCCGTTGGCTTAGCATAATGATCGGTCAGTTTATTGCTATTGCTTTCTTCATGTCAAATACATATTCCTTCGATTATGAGATTCTGCAACTACCGGATACCGGAGGAATACCTTGTGTGCTATCAAACATCACAACGTAACGGGGTGACCATAAAGATGCTCTAAATGTAGCTCCGAAGGTGTTTGCTGAGTTGGCATAGATCGATTAGGATTCGTCACTCCGAGTATCGGAGAGATATCTCTGGACCCTCTCGGTTATACACATCATAAGCTTGCAAGCAAATGACTAAAGAGTTAGTCACAAGGTGATGTATTACAGCAAGTAAAGTGACTTTCCGGTAACGAGATTAAACTAGGTATGAAGATACCGACAATCAAATCTCGGGCAAGTAACATACCGATGGACAAAAGGAATTACGTATGTTGTCATAACGGTTCGACCGATAAAGATCTTCGTAGAATATGTAGGAGCCAATATGGTCATCCAGGTTCCGCTATTGGTTATTGACCGGAGAGGTGTCTCTGTTATGTCTAGATAGTTCCCAAACATGTAGGGTCCGCACGCTTAACGTTCGTTGACGATATAGTGTTATCTGAGTTATATGTTTTGGTGATCGAATGTTGTTCAGAGTCCCGGAGAAGAACACGGACATGACAAGGAGTCTCGAAATGGTCGAGAGGTAAATATTGATATATAGGACGATGGTATTTGGACACCGGAAGTGTTTCGGGAACCGGGAAGGAATCGGGTTACCGGAAGGAGTTCGGGGAACTCCCCGGCAAGTTATGGGCCTTATGGGCCAAAGGAGGGGACAGACCAGCCCACGAGGGGGCTGGTGCACCTCCTTCCTTGTATGGCCAGCCCCAGGGATGGAAAAGGGAAAGGGCTAGCCCCTCCTACCTTTCCCTCTCATGGGAGAGAGGAAGGGGGGGGGCACCCTCCCCTACCTTTCCCCGCACTCCAAATAAGGAAAGGGGGGCACTTGGGAGGGAACCCAAGTAGGATTGCTCCTACTTGGGCACCTCCTTTACCTGCTCCTCCCTCCCTCCCTCCTCCCACGTATATATCTGTGTGTGGGGGGGGGGGGGGCTAGCACACAATAGACAATTGCCTAGCCGTGTGCGGCGCCCCCCTCCACCGTTTACACCCCCGGTCACATTTTCGTAGTGCTTGGGTGAAGCCCTATGGAGATCACTTCACCATCACCGTCACCACGCCGTCGCGCTGCCGGAACTCATCTACTACCTCGCCGTTTTGCTGGATCAAGAAGGCGGAGGACGTCACCGAGCTGAATGTGCGCACAACGCGGAGGTCCCGTACATTCGGTACTTGATTGGTTGGAGAGCGAAGAAGTTCAACTACATCAACTGCGTTGTTAAACGCTTCCGCTTACGATCTACAAGGGTACGTAGACATACTCTCCCCTCTCGTTGGTATGCATCTCCATAGATAGATCGTTGGTATGCATCTCCACGGTGGGCGCCAACTATCGTGGTTCTAAGCCTGACAGTAGAATAGGGGGTAGGTATGGAGAGCCAAGATCCTAGCTATGGAGTAGTTGTATACGCAAGGGAGTTACGAGTCCGAGAAGGGCCCGAACTCGTAACTCCCTTGCGTATACTACTACTCCATAGCTAGGATCTTGCCTCTCCATACCTACCCCCTATTCTACTGTCAGGCTTAGAACCACGACAGTTGGCGCCCACCGTGGGGCAGGTGTCTTAGCGACTTATTGGAGAAGTTGCAATTGTTCCGATCGCCTTCATCATGGTTTCTGGCGGAGTTTTGGTGGAGGGCCGCGAGATCCATCTCGGCGCGCTCACGTTTGTCGCCGACGACTCCGCTTGGCTCCAGGAGGCTCCACAAGACATCGACGCGCTCCCACTCCGTGGGGCGACACACTTTCGCGCATGTGTCTGCGGCGTCCTGCTGCGGCAACCGTCGGCCCCGTATCGGTCGACCCCTGTGTCGTCC